GTCATTTTTATAAAGATGGTAATGTATTGCTGATGAACTAATATTTGAACAGAGACTGAAGTGAGAAAATGACCCATGAGGATGCTGGGTAGAAGAACTTTCCAGACAGAAAGAACATCAAGTGCAAAGGCCCTTAGGTGAGAGTTTCAAGTGTTGGAGAAACAGCAGAGGATGTGGCTGAAGGGAAGTGAGGAAGAGGAGAGTGGCAGGCAGTTCGTCTGAAAGGGCCCAGTAGGGTAGGTAAAGATGTGGCTTTTTCTCTAGAGAGCTGGACAGCAATAAGTTTTTGAGCAGAGGTATTGCAGGATCTGACTTAGGGAGGCTCTGTGTAGAGAACTGTCTGAAGTCACAAAGGTGGAAACAAGCAGAGCAAACATCAGGCGATAAGACGATGGTTTGAACTGAGGTGCTCATAGAGAAGGTAGTGAGAACTGGTCAGATTCTGAAAATATGTCAAAGGTAGAGACAACAGGATTTATTGATGGTTTACATGTAGCCTGTGGAGTGAATTTAAGACTTTGGCCTTGCTAGGTGCCAGTGGCTTACATGTGTAATCCTAGCCACTTGGGAGGCTGCGATCAGGAGGATCAAGGTTCAAGGATAGCCTAGGCAAATAGTTCGTGAGACCCTATCTCCAAAACAACCAGAGCAAAATGGACTGGAGGTATGGCTCAAGTGGTAGGGGTTCCTGCTTTGCAAGACTTTGGTCTTGAGGAATTCAAAGAATAAATTTTTTTATTTTGGTGTTGGCAATCTAACCCAAAGCCTCGTGCTTGCAATCTAACCCAAAGCCTCGTGCTTGCTAGGCAAGTGCTCTCTACCACTGAGTCACACCCCAGTCCTAGAAGAATAAAGTTTTTATTTACCAGAGTGGAGAAGTCTGAGGGAGGTGCTGGTTTGGGAAAGAAAGACAGAAGCTACCTGTGGGACATGTTAAGTGTATATGTTCACATGGGATGGGGAGGAGCAAGCAGCTGGTTATACACCCATGAACTTTCAGAGAGGTCAGAGATGCAGATTCAAACACCAGCTTAGAGATGATATTTATAGCCAGGTGACTGGACAAGATCATCTAGGGCTTCAGTGTGGCTGTCTCCTTCACATGGGAGAGAAGGTCAGAGATAGTGTACGGAAGCTGCTTTTATAAACTGTCAAGTGCTGCATGCCTGGAAAGGACTAAATGCATAACTATGGCAAAGAGTATAATCCCAAGCAAGATTTAAAGTTATAGCAGGTGGAGTGAGGACCATAGAAAACTTGTGTAAGGAGGACCTTAGAAACCAACTAACCCACCCCTTTTATTGGCAGAGAGGCTAAGTGGCTTGTTCAAGGTCAGTAAGCTCACCGGTAGCTCTGCTGCCCTAGAACTCAGGAATCCTAACTGCTCATGTGGTGCTCTTTCAGCCCCATGACGCACCTGCTCGTGTTCACTGCTTCAGCTCTGTCTGAATCTGTTAACCAGGGCCAAGTAATTCTTCAAACACAAATCTAATTATATCGCTTGTGCTTTTACACATGCTATTTCCTCTGCCTGGAATACTCTGCTTTCTCCCACTTCTCTGTCTGGCGAATTCCCGCCCCATCTTTCATTCCTGGCTAGAATGGCCCTTTCCAGTGAAGACATCCTTGCCTTGCTTGGTAGAGGTAGCCATTGGCTCTCTGTGTGCCTGCAGAGTCCTCGTCTTGTAGCGGTTCTTCCATTTGCTGTGATTATGTCTGCCTTCCCTGCCTATCTATGTGGCTCTTCCTATGAACTCTCCACCTCACATAGTGAGTGACACTTAAATGTTTGGGAAGGAAGGAAGGAAGGAAGGAAGGTCTCTCACATAAGTTGGGAACAATGGCAGAGCTGTCATTCAGTGACACTTCAGTTCCTCTGACCTGAGTATGCTTTTGGTTCACAAAGGGACAGTGACTTCTGGGGTGGGAATTTGCTTTTTTTCTTTGTCATCCCCAGGCACAATGAGCAGGCAATTATGGGACCAGGAAACAATTTGGACATTGTAAGTGATTGCTGCCTTTTTGTTTTTAATTCTCTCTCACCTATCAGTATACGGACTGTTGTTTGCCTTTTGCTGCAAGGCAAGATTTGTGCTTGTGCTTGGGCTAGGCATAGGCGCGTGTATACACACACACACACACACACATGCACACACTGATGTCTCCTGGGAGGGGCTGTACTCTTGTATTTCTGAGGTAGCATGATTAGGATTACCCAGAAAATTCACTCAGGTAGGAGGGAGGAGATAACCTGTGCTCCCAGTTTTGTTACGCCTAAACATGAAAATTTGTACTTCTTAACCTTTTGGAACCTTAGTTCATGATAAGTTTGGGATTTCTAGGTCAAGAATAAATCCTAAGAACTCTTGCCCAGCTCTTATGTTCACTGCTCTTTAGCTTGTTTGTTTTGGATAATTCTGTATTAATTACTGTATTTACATTCTGCTTAATTAACAGTGTTTCGGTAGGTGGAGAATTGCTCCTAATAGAAGTAATTAGCATACAGGTTACTGCAAAGGTCTAAGGAAAGTGGCAGAAGCTGCTGGTGATGGAACAACACTCCAAATTTTGTTCCAAGCAAATGATTCAGATTCTTACCAGCCTGGGTTTGTCAAACATGGAGAGCATCCCTGGAATAGATGTTGAGCCAGAGTCGTGGAGAAACTGTCCCTTCCTGAGTATTGGGCTTCTGGAGCTCTCTTGTACTGAGAGCCCTTGAATAATCACTGGTAATCAATACAGTACAGTAGGATGCAATTAGGATGAATTAGCTCAGTGTTGCAAGCAGCCCTGCTTCTCAGTCCATCTCCTCTTTTTGGCTCCTCCTTCCCCTGAAGAGGAAGGTCTCCTTCCCAGCATCCCCAGGCCCAGGTGTCCTGTCTTCTCTTCCTGTGCCAATCCCCTCCCCCACTGATTCATAAGATGGAGAGAGCCAGGAAGGGGCACTAGGTTGTGGTGGGAAGGGAAGAAAGAGAAACCAACTGGAGCATAGTGGAAAGAGAGAAGGCTGGTAAGAGTGTATGTGAAGGATGGAGGAGATTTTGAATATCTTTCAAGAGAGCTCCTGTGGCTGACAGAACCACCTGGAAGGCATTATTTGTCTATTCTCCTATCCAGACAAATGAAAGCTCTTCTGCTCATTCCCCATGGAATATTATCACATTTTTGTTTTAATTAAAAGATGTCTCTATTGCATACATTTATATCTTTGCAATGTCAAAACCAATGCCCCTGGTCTGTAAGTAATGGGGATGGGTGTGCGGATGGGGGCAGTACTCAGAGAGTGGAAGGGGTCTAGATGGGGCATCAGGAGACCTGCTTATCCCAGCGTGGGACTCTGGAGAGTGACTTCTGCTCTCCAGACCTCTTTGCCCTTATCTGTAGCATGATAGGTTTGGCCTCCATAACTCTCCCAAATTGATTTCTACCCCAATATTAGATGGATGGGCTCTCTCAATAGTAGGCATGTGCAAACATGCCCACTTCCTTCCTTTTTTCCCCTCTTCTTTGCTCTCTCTCTTTATATTGAGAATGGGTTTCATCTTCGCAAATTCCTCTCTGTTCAGCAATCATGAGGTTCAGCATTTCTATTACCCTATAAAGTCTTTATCTTTGAGATTTTGCACTGTTTCTCTTTTTACAGCACCTCCTAAAGGCCTTTCTTGGATTCACAGCACATCCTTTCTGTCCTATCATCCTGTCCAAACTGTTCCTTGCCTTTGTTCCCAGGTGAGGGTGATAGGGAGAGAGTGTGTCTCTGGGATTCATACTGTCTCCACTTTCTGCTTTCTCTGGACTTTCCATTACGCAGAATTTTGTTAGGCAAAAGGCTTCACCTGGACTTTGTTCTAATTCTCCAATTTCTGGAATGTTTTCCTTCCCTCAATATATCTATTTTTATTTCACAGTTCTCTTTGATTATATCTTAGAATCACACTTTTCTGGGTTTACATTTTAGGTCCTTTGTCTTTCTCACTTGCATTTTCTTAGGTCACCTTTAAAAAAAATTTTTAAATACCTTTTTTTGTTCAGTAGAGGGCTCCCTTCCCATCCCTCCTACAGCCGGGCAGCTAGGATCTGAAGCTTTCTCCCACGACTGTCCCTCCCGCCTTCTAGCCATCAGAAACACTAGATCACTTAAACTTGTAAACAATTCCGCCTCTCTCCCTGTGATTGCGCTAAAGCTTCCATCCTCGGTGGAGAGCACTCCACCGCCTCCCCAATCAGTCATCCATTGGATGCCCTCCCAGTGTTCCTGATGCTATTTTACTCCCTGCATCCTTTGCTTGTTCCTCACCATTCTGTAGGGTTCATGTCACCAACCCCAGTTTACAGCTGAGGAAACTGAGCCTTGAAGAGGTTTTCTCAAGGTTGTACAACTTGCAAGACAAGTTCCAGTCCGACCCAGCAACCCAGCCTCACTCTCCGCTACTGGAGTATATAATAGACCGCTCCCGTTTTGTACACAGTCCTTTTTCCCTTCAAATTTACAATCAGGACGCTCGTTCCTAACAAACAGGGCTGGGGAATTGAGGGGCCCAGGGAGGGGTGGGGCGAGGGATTGGGGAGGTTGGAAGAGTTTCCTCAGGCTTCGAGAGTTAGAGTGGTTCGAGATGGGGGTGACCGAAGACCCGTAAGACGGGATGTGGCCAAAAGTGCCAAGTGATCGGGGACCTAGGTCCTAGAATGCTGACTGGGGTTGGGGTCATTCTGTCGACCCTCCCCGTAACACTCGCGTGGCAAGTCAGGGGCAGGAGTCTGGCAGAGGGAACATGGGGATGCTTGGCGCCCCCTCGCGCTCTGCGCCTCGGGGCTAGATGGTTAAGCGCCCGCCGCGGCAGGTCCTCTCCAACCCCCTCCTCCTTTACGCTCCCGCTCCCCTCCTTCTCTCCTCTCGCTCCCAACTCCTCCCCCACCGTCTCTCCCTCCCTCCTGCTCCCTCGGTCTCCTCCTCCCCGCTCTCTTCGGCGCGCCAGGTCTGGAGCTAGTTGGAGCGCGGGGGTTGATGCCAGAGCCCAGCTCCGCGGAGCCGGGCGGGTCGGCCGCGCATCCAGCTGCTGCAGAAAGAACCCGAGCGCAGCGGGCGCGGCCGGGGTCGGGACTGCACCGGAGCGCAGAGCCAAGGACCGGGGGCCTTTCTTGTGCGGCTGCCCCATTCCCAGACAGGTCGTCAACCTTCCTGTTCGCCACCGCAGCTCCGCGCCAGCCAGAGCCGAGGGCCGCCGGGAACCCGGGCACCTGTGCGTGCAGCCGGGAGGTGAGTCCTGGGAGCTCCGGGCGCTTTCTCTGCGCGGGCTGGGGTTGCAAGTTGCAAACTTCAGCAACTCGGGCGGATATAGGTGTGGAGGTCTGGGGGTGATCGCAAGTTGGAGGAAGGTTGGGGAAGCTGCAGGGAGTAGGAGAAGGGATCCCTGGGCTTCCGCGCCACCCGCTGCCACCTCGACTTGGTCGTCCTCGGCACTGCTGCGTTCCTACCACCAGCCCGCTCCGGGTTCCGGTTCTACTTGGTGTGATCCGCGCGTCTGGGCTGCAACCGCGATGGGGACCCAGGGCCCGGGGCCTGGAGGAGGGGACCCACGAGTGAAAGGCTAGGAGAGAGCGGGGCAGAGATTGGGCCGAGATGGAGGCTCAGAGAGAGCCGGCGAGTGACGGTGGTGGAGGGAGAGTGCGGACAGCTAGGCGCGTGGGAACGCGTGGTCCGCCCAGAGTGTGAAATCTCCCGCGCGGGGACATCCCCGCTCCTCCATCGCCGCCAATCTGGCCTACGCCTAGAATCTTCCCAGACCCCTCTAGCTTACCTCTCCCCTGGCTGGGCCCTGCGGAGACCAAACTGTCCTGCAGGCCCTGATGGAGCGGCGAGGGGGCCCCGCGCTCCGGCTTCGGCCCGCAAAGAGGGGCGCGGCGGCGGGAACCCGGGACGCGAACGGCGATTTCCTGATTTATTTTTCTCATGGTAATTTTTCTTTGTGGTTGGGGCTGCCCATTCACTTTCCGCTCACGTCGTGCGGGAGATCCAGTGCGGAGGGAGGGAGCGGGGGGCGCTCGGGCACAGGGAGTGATGGAGACAGGAAAGGGGATCGGGGACCCGAGCCGGGCGGCAGTCGAGAGCTAAGTGGTCTCAGGACCCGCGGAGGAAGAAGGCGAAGCTTGAGAGGACCAGCCGAACGCAGCTGGCTCCTTCGCCTACCGCAAACTTTAAACGAGGAGGACCACCTGAAGCGCCATTCTTCTCCCTCTCATCTCCCTACCCACGGCCTGGTCCTGGAGTCATTTCACCCCGCTGCGCCAGGCAGGAGTGGGCCCCAAGTTTAAAAGGGGAGAAGCACCGAGTTTGGAGGGGAGAGGTGGCTGCTGAACTCTGCCCCGACCCTTGCTGTTCTCGCCAGGCTTTTGGTGGTGAGGGGGGGATGAGAGCAGCCCACGCTGTGGGTACACACATATTCGGCCAACCCAACCGGATTGGGGGATTAGGAGCTGGTTTATGTCTAGATCTCACCAAGATGCTATCTTTTCTGGCCATAATCCTCATTCCCCCACACCACCTCTAGCAAATCCAACCTTCTTTCTAAGTCCCATCTCCCACCCCCACCAAGGTGGCCCTCTTTCTGCTTCTCATTCTGCTGTGTTCCTATACTTCCATTTTCTTTTATCTTTTAGTCTGGCCTTTTTCATTCTTTCTTCTCCCTTACCCTCCTTGCCTTTCTTCTTGGCATTCAGAAATGCTCTCTAGCCTTTTCTGGTCTGGGATAGATGACCTTGAGGAAGGGGCAGAAGAAAACTTGAGCCTTAGAACGAACGTCATAACTAGGGGAAAAGGGGAACAGATTGAGAAGCAGCTTGGAAGATACCACCCTGCTCCAAACCTAGGCTTCCAACAGAGGAGGTAAGGATAAAATATCAAAGAGAGAGTGAACTTGCCACTTGGTCACTCACAGGGCAGGGAGAACTGTTTTGGCCTGGGGGAGGGGGAGAGTAGACCACTTAGGAGGTGGGGATGCCTCTATTGCGCCAGGTCTGGAAAGATGAGTGTGTTGTATGTGTGTGTGTGTGTTCATAGCTCCTTTTTGCACCACTCTGAGCTACCACCACCAGTTTGGGAAAGAATGGCAGATCTTCCATGTCTTTTCTTTTTCTAGGGAGTAAATGCCAGAGTCTTCCTCCTTCAGAGCTGAGAACAGCTACCATTGTCACTGTGGGCCTCAAGCACTTTTTAAGCATCTACTATTTGCAATGCATTGTGTTAGGTGCTGGCAGATGCAGAGAGGTACAGGTCTGAGTCCCTGTCCAGAGTGGCTGTTAAATTCACCTCTTTGATTCCATGACACTTGAATGTGTGCTTGGGGAGGAGAATGTGAACAAGGGAACCCAATGAAGCAAGGGCTTGGTGCCAAATAATGACCTTCAGAGAGCCAGAAGAAGACTGGTTAAAGAAAGCTTGATGACTCAGGTGGGACAGAGCTGGACTTGTTGACTGAGTCCAGAGAGAGAGGGGCCAGCACCTTCTTCCCCACCAGCTACCTGTTAGTGAGATAGAAGAAGAGTCTGATGGGCAGGTGCTCCCTTACCAGGAGAGTTAGACTAGAAAGGCAGAGAAGTGGAGAAGTACAGCTTGGCTTTGAGGACTACCTCCTCCCCATTGGGATTGGAGGAACCCTATCTTGGGTTCCTGTCTTAGCACAAACCTCCTGGCTTATTTTTGAAAGCTCTTTCATTACTCACTTCTTATGGAGGCTCAAAGCTGGAAGAGGGCTTGAAGATTGTCTGTCAGGGGAGTACAAACTCAAATGCCCACAGAAGGGAGGCAGGTAACAATGTGTTGATCAGGCAATTAGAGTGGCCTGGTTGGTGACCAATGAGGTATTCAAAGTCAAACTGGCCAAATGAAATGGTCTGAATAAGGCCAATTTATACCCCTTGTGTCTCTATAGATCAAGAAATTAAAGTTCTAAGATGTGAGTACATCCACTTTGTTGTAGATGTTATTGTGTCTCCTACCTTGGGTATTGATCAGAATATCCTCAGTGTGGTCCTACCTCCAACCTGTTGGACCCTCAGCTTACCTCACTCTAAGGGCCCTCCAGGATTCTTCTGAGAGATGGTAAGTTCTTTAGGTCAGGGAGTCATCTTGTCTTGTATAAATCTGAGCACTTCACATTCATTGATACAAGGTTCCAGATGTAGGGCTAAGATTGGAACTCAAGTTTCCTGTCGGCCTGCCCACTAAGAATCCAGTGAGTATACAGAAGAGAAAAAAAAATCCAATCATGGCTTTGTGTTTCTCCTAATGTAGTAAAGTCTTGTTCAGGGATTGAATGAGAAAAGACTAGAAGTTCATATCAGGGATCCCAAGGAACAGCCAGAAAGTCTTGAGCCCTGAGTGTAGGCCAAAAAAGGAGAAGGGGATCAACAGGAGATGGGTAGAGAGATGGCAGACATTTATGGAAGATCATCCTGACAAGGCTGAAGGCTGCTGGATGGAGTATGTGTATTTGGGTAGAAGATGCTGTTGGGTCTAATTATTTGGAACATTGACCATGACACTCCTTAGTTTTGATTACCCTCCTGTATCTCACAAGGAAAATTGGTAAGATACAACCCAGATCACTACCAATCAGTCAATCAATTCACTACTTTATTTGAGGTGATAGAATGGACACAGAGGACAAAGGGACAAGATCCCTGGTTAGAAATGCACATCACCTTATTCCTATTGCCTTAAAGGACCCAGGGCTGAGTTCTGGTGCTGCACTACCCATGCCTCTGTTCCTCAAGTGCTAACTTTGTTATTGCATGGGTACAGGTAGATGGGACCAACAGAGGCAATAAATTTGTGGGTTCATTATTTACTGAACACCTACTATGTTGTCAGGCACTGTGCTAGGAGCATAGATACAATAGTAAGCCAGGCTTGACTTTGATCTTTCTGCATGGAGGTTAATCAACATGAATAGGAAAACACAATTACCTCCATGTCTGTGACAGAATTTACTGCTTTTGTTGTGTGTGTGTGTGTGGTGTGTGTGTTTTCCCTGTGGATTTGTCTGGGTGATTGACAGCTAATGTGAACTTCTTCAGAGGACTTGGGGAGAGGGCTGAGAGGGCTAGGATTCTACTTCCTTAGCTGGTCACCCAGGTCCAAGACCCCTCTGGGTACTTCAGATTTCCCATTTGTCAAGTGTGGCTAAGCACCTCCCTTATACCTGTGATATAGAAAAAGGCAAAGCCAGACATCTGGAGATCAGGGATGATGACTATTTGGAGGGAGTGTTGGTTATTTATACTTCAGAGTTTGAACTCCAGTGGATCCTAGGCTCATCCTTTGCATTATCCAGTCACCATAATCACGAGCCTGTCTTCATTTTTGGATGACAGTGTGTATATGTGTAACACTTATTTCTACCAAATGAGTTTTCTTTATATTCTAATCTTTGCATTTGAATTCAACCATAACTAAATTGGTCTTAAATATATGACTAGACAAACTTTGTTTCAAATGTATGACAACAGCCCAAACCAAGTGCCTCAACTAGTGGAATTCTATTGAATTGAGAAAATTGAGTCCTCCTTTTGAAGTTTGTATGGACAATACCTGAATTTCCACTGGCTTAATGCTCTTCTCCTCAAAATTCCTTCTTGGTAGCTTTGGTTTGATGACATCTGTGTAGCTGAGGAGCTGATTTTCTAATGGGCGATTTGGAAAGGGATCTTTGTGTATGCCATTTTCCAGCTCAGACAGATCTCCTCTAAGACTCTTCCTTCAAGAAATCCTCTTGCAACAGGCTTGAATGCTAGCAAGTGACAGGGAGAAGTTCTAGCTGGGAGCAGAGTTCTGAAAGGAAAAGGAGGAAAGGGAGCTGCATGTTCTGTGGCTCCGCCATGTCACTTCCCTTCCCTTCTGTTACAGCGTTTTGCTTTCCTGAGCATGAGCTATGCTAGCTAATCATTGCAGAATGCACACTTTAATCCTGACATGAGCAGGGGTTTGCTAGTAAGAAATTATTAGACATGATGGCTTGAGTGTGAAAAAAGAAAATGGTTTTCTGTCCAATTTGTTACTGGGCACATGGGGAACATAGGAGGAGAGACCCCTGGGCTGGAGACTGGACTTGGGGGCAGTTTGACCTTGGATGCACATGGACCGTTGGTCCACGTCTCTTCCTCTACTGTTTGGCTTGAAATCGACCTAAGCACATGAATGCTTTCCAGGCAATGCTGCAGGTGCTGTGTTCCACCATGACACTACTCTCATTGATATGC